GTACAATTTCAATGTTACTCCAGCAGTTTTGAAATTCAAGAACAAACTAGAGTGATTTCAAGATTTGTAGAGATTGCCACAGCTAGTCAAGATTTTCCAGGAATATGGCTTGTTGCCCAGTCCAACATAGCTGTCAAGAATATTGCTGAAAAGCTAGCTAAAGTTGGTTTTATGGGTTGGAAACTTCTTGTATCTACAGATTTCTACTTGGATTGGTATTTGATTTTTTATTCATTGAATACAGCTAATACTAACAGCTTTGCAGGCATGAACATATCTATGATAGTGCTTTTCAAAGCAATCTTCTGCAATCTGAACAGTTTTACCAACTCTCACCATCAAAACTGCAAAGATATCTCAAGGGGTGTAAAGTTATACTTTGCACACTCAGTATGCTTTCAAGCTCTCAGTTACCCAAATTTCTTCGAAATATTCCAATGCATACACTTGTAGTTGATGAAGCCAGTCAAATTGAGATAGGAAATTTCTTACCTGTTTTGACATCTTGTGGAGGGAGATTGAAGAAGCTTTGTCTAATTGGTGATGACAAGCAATGTGAGTTGAACAATATTGATATTTTTCTACATCTCGATTTTACTGCATTTTAGTGCCTCCTCATGGTCAGGAAGAGATTCAAGATCTACAGAGTATCTTTGAAATTGAGCATTTTCATGCTCATCTCTATTTATTGGATACCCAGTGTGAGTTATTCATCATTGATTACAGTATCAGCTTTTGAAAACAGTTTCTTCAGACCGAATGCCACCCCAAATGGGAGAATTTATCTCAAGTGCTGTTTATGAAGGAGCCTTGAGGTCAAACCCAAAGCATGCCATTGCTGATCATGTCATTGCATGTTGGTTTATTGAGGCATCTGGAACTGAGAGTGAAATGAACAATGGTTCATTCATAGTAAGCAATTTTCTTCCTACCAGTCATATTTCATCTGATCATTATCTGTTAGAATGAGGCAGAAGCTGTAGCTGTAATCCAACTAGCTGAGGTTTTGGAAAAATCTGGCAGGAATTACAGAATTGTTACTCCATATGATTCACAGAGGAATCATATTGAGAAGTTGATGAAGGAGAATGAGCAGGTAACTTGGGAGAACAGGTGTTTCAATGTTGATTCTTTTCAAGGTCTGTTTTTACTTGCAATCTCAAAACATATGCTATTTGAAACTGATTCCTTCTTTTGATTAATAGGAAATGAAGAGGACTATATCATTATTTCAACTGTTAGGTCTTATAGACCTGGGTTTTTGGTAAACCCCCACAGAACCAATGTCATGCTGACACGGTTCAAGCGAGGCATGTTCATTGTTACCAGTGAGAAGTTTCTTACAGGACCTGGTAAAGAGACTTTGGTAGCACAGTTGGCTACATATTATGAGAAGAGAGTAGGAAGGAGGGCTTGGATCAGAGCAGGAGAAATTGCAAAGGGGAAGATAGTCATTGTCTAATTGTATGCTCCAGGTTCTTGTTCATGTTAGTTTTAACTATCTCAAATGTAACAATCAAAGTAGCTACTAGCTACAGTGACAAGCATATAGGATGCATACTGGGGAATCCACATTGATCAAGTATGCATCTTGTATGCCTGTTGCTGTATCTATTGACTACTGGTATTTTTTTTCTTAAACAAGTGACGGTTTACAAGTCATCTTCTATTGATTTCCATCAATTGCTACAGTCTACTAAGTCTACTTGTTGAAAGCTGATCATGAGAAATCTTTGTGTCGGGTACATGCAAAATAACATCCTTCATATCTCTCAAAGCAGTATAGATAGCGCCTTTGAATATCTCCGTTGAGGTTTCTGTTCCGGAGAATTTTGTTTCGATCCCGAACTTGATCATGGAAGGCGCAGCTAAATCTGAACGGAAGGACGATGATGAGTAGATTGATTTGTTTAAAAGATTAGCAACAACTCGTACAATTGATACCGTATCCATTCTCATAGCCTGATCCAAATCTGTAAGAGAAAGAACGAATGAGAGAGGTATGAGCATTCCCTTTACCCTACGATCAAAACGTCAAAGCCAAACGTACCCAGTTCCACGAAAATGATGTCCAGCACTCAACCCACTCGTGCTCAACCGCCATTCTTGGCTTTTCACGAACAGCGGATCATCAAACAGCTCGCTTTGTTCTCCAGGTCGGAGCATACTCCGTAAGCCGAGCAGATGTCTGTCGATTCCTCGCCCGGTAGCGGCGTCCCTCGTGAGCGAGGTGTGTTTCTGGACTGCGCGCTGGAGAAGGTGGTGTTTGGTTTTGGGCTGGGTTTGGAGTGACAGGTTAGAGAGGCGAGTTGAAAGGGAAGGGTGAACGATAGAGAGGAAAGGAAAGGATAAGGATCGAGGGATGTCTACTCACTGAAGTGGTATCGTTAACCATAGCCAGAACAAAAGCCCGACTCTCAACAGACAGAGTCCTGATCGTCTCAGTGCGGCCCTTGTTGAACATCCTCGTCAACGCTGTTTCGTACGTCGCGGTGAACGTTCCGGTTGTGCGATACCAGGCGAGTTGCATGGCCATTTGGATGTACGCGTCTGAGCTGAAACCTATCGTGATAGATTCAAGAGAGGGAGAGAGGAGGAAGGGTAAGTCAGAAAGTGTGTTGTGTCCTTGATGGGAAGGGAAATAAACCTACCAACGCTTTTGATCCAGTCAGATCCATACTCTTCGAACCAGAGCATACTATCATCCGAGTTCCTGATAACACCCTCTGCCCGTTCCCGGGCTTTCATCGTAGCCTCCTCAACAACTTCATCAACCACCCAATCCAATCTCTTCCAACCTCTATCATCTTCGTCCTCATCCTTGGCCTTACCCTCATCAGCGTCCAAACCCTCATCCGAATACGCATCCATATCAACATGCTCCACCACCGCATACTCGCCCACGATACTCGGCACGAGCGCATCACAAGGCGAGTGTTCGCCCATGGCTCCCGCTCGACCAGAGGGGTCGACGATGAGCGAGGAGGGTTTGTCGAAGAACCGGTTGGAGACGTTGGATGGGACGGAGCGGATGGAGTGCAGGTGGGAGTCGAGGGTGAGTTGGGAGATGGTTGAGGGTTGGGGAAGTGGGAGGGATGATGAAGAAGGAGGAGTTATAGATACGTGTGTTTCTTTGTCAAGACAGAGACAGATGAGTGATTTCACGATCGACTCGTGGGTCTCTCGGTTTTGGGGATCGATAGACAAAAGGTGTTCGAGGTTCTGAGTCAATCAATCATCAATACTTCATCGCTCTCTCATAGAAAACAAACCATCCCCCTCACCGACGCCCAAGTATCCCTCTCATCAGCCGAAAGCACCCCAATCTGAGGCGCAGGTCCGTTCCTCTTGGTCCTACCCACCGCATCGTGCACGATGGCTTTCAAGCGCGAGTGGAGCGTTTGGGGGTTGACCAGCTTCAAGCCCGAACCCGAACTCGAACTCGGATTCGATCCATCTTTCTCTTTCTCATCTTCCGTTTCTCCCGGACTGGGACTGGGACTGGTGTTGGTGCTGGTACCGGCATCAGTATCGGTAACGATATCGTACGCACAGAGTGAGTAGAACCAATCATCCACGATCACCGTGATGTTTCGTGCGAGAGGATCAGAAAGAGGGGAAATTGGTGAGAGAACGTCGCAGGTGGGTTGGGGGATTCGAGCGCGGTTGAACATGTTCGAGACGCTTTCTTGGATCCATACGCCTGTAGACGTAACGTACGTACACCCATCAGTCACCCATCAACCAGGGTATATAGGGAAAGGAATTATGGGAGATACGATACACACCTGTACGCGTCGTCACTGGATGTAGTTCTTGCCTAACACACGCCAGAAATAAGCGAATGAGTTCGGACACCATAACCATACGCACAATCAAAGCCGAAGAGATATTTACTCACATATTAATCTTATCCTTGAACTCCAACGTCCGATACGCAAGCCAAGCTGCTCTTCGAACTTGCCAGTCGGTATACCCACCGTTAGCGTAGTTGTCGTCATTGGGAGTAGTATGACCGTCCGAGGGATATGACGGATGAAGAGGATCGTCGTTGAACACCAACCACCAATTGGAGTTGATAAGCAGAGGAGCTCTCCATTGCAAGTAGCTCTTTAACCAAAAGTTGTCGTCTAGCCAGTTGTCTGGTGAGTTTCTATCGAGTTCTGGAGTTGTTCAAGTGAGTCAAATCGCAGTTATTGGATAAGGACAACTTGAAGAGACCGACCTTTCAAACGTTCCTGACAAACACCTCCGATCCCATTAACGAACTCATCTGCCCACTTTTCACGTAGAGCGAACGCTTCCTCGTACGAAGACGAAACACCTTTGGCGTCCTCGAGCAGAAAAGGACGTAGAGAATCAAGATATTTCGTTATTGTCTTGCGTAAATCCGGAACGGGCAAACGAGGAAGTACAGCAGCAGCAGGGGTGAAGGTGTGATTCATTCGGAGGGAGTTAGGTGCCGGGTAGTGTAGTTTGGGTAGTTTGAGTGCCCTGAGTGTTTGGAGTGCTCGGAGGTTTCGTCTACAATGGAGCTTTGGGTAGTAGAATGAAGAGATGGGAGGTGAGTGGAATGAGCTTTTAAGCATCGGAATCCATTTACGTATGACTCGGATGACTCGGATTCAGGCAGGGAGAGAGTGTGTGTATAACGCGAGACGCAGGACGGAAGGAGGTATATGTTATTCGCGTTCAAGGCATTCCACTCGCAGCCCGTGTTGATACGAGTCCGAAATGATAAATCAAGTTGAAGAAGAAGAAAAACAAACGCCGGAAACTCACGGGAAGTTACGGTACTTAGTACTTTAGCGCTCGACTTTCTCTCTCTCTCTCGAGTCTCCTCTCCGATCTGCGGGCTCGAGTCCTATGTATCATACATAGTCGAGCTCCATCACAGAGCCATTTATGTAAAAGAACCCAAGAATCGACGTTGTTTTGAAGTAGGAAAAAAATTATCTTCGGAATTCCGATAGGAAAAAATTGGGAAAGGTTAGAAAGATCTCCCTGGCTGGGAGTCGAACCCAGCTTTCGCGCGATCACATAATCTATGTGTATTTCGATGACAGGCGCGTGTACTAAACCGATATACTACCAGGGATAGAATAACAGCGGTATCTTGGAGGATATCTCAGACAGTGTAGGCATATGGTACAGTGCGTCTAGCACCGTCTAGCACCGTACTATTGCTGCTTGCATCCAATAGGTATTAGGGACCTGTTGTAAATTCTTATACATAGATATTAGAGTTCTCTATGTTTCCTCAGGTGCATGTTTCTATGTTCCCTGGATCCATTCTTGCAATTCTTGCATCAAGAAAGGCTTCAATGTTCAACCGGTTACAGCATTCAACACCTTCAAGAAGGCAAACTTCTTGAAAATCGAGATATTCTACATGTAACATATATGTATAAGTATAATACATTCATAAACAATACCCACTGAAAGAGCACCCATGCCCAAACCATGGCTACATGTAAAAGGTTATGTACATGTAGCACAATACCGCAGAAGAACTGGGGAGTCGGGATTTGGGAAGGATGGAAACAAGTTGTTCTCGTACACATGAATGGGAACTTCATCTAACACAACAACCCTTGTTGTATGTTGTCATATATGTACATACCCGAGTCGTTCTCGTAGGACAGAACCTGATTGATACCGACCGCTAAACGTCTCAAAGCTCCGTTAAAAAAACTCACAAATAATCAAAATTAAAAAGCTTGCGTCGAACTGAATTATCTCCCTGGCTGGGAGTCGAACCCAGCTTTCGCGCGTTTATAACTGTAGTAGAGGTCCGTTATGACAGGCGCGTGTACTAAACCGATATACTACCAGGGATGCTTTTACATCGCAATAATTGGAATATGGCCCGAGTGAAAGACATGCGCCGATACATATCAAAAGTTGTACATAGTACACACAGCGCCTTCAATTCTTTCTGTTCGAACTCTTCATTCGAACCCTCCTTGCTATGTACTTCGAGCTCAAGCGCAAGAATAGTAAGATACACGAGGACTGAGGACAGGAGCCTACATGCCCTTGTACCTTCTTGCCCCCTCAGGCCCAGGATTTACTTAGTCCAAACTCACAGAGTCCTACCTTTAAGTAATACCTATATCCCTCAGCTGCATATGCCTGTGGCCGCAATCGAAATCGAGAAATGGTAAATTAAGTAACTACCTACGTATTTTGCAGCAGTATGCACTGTGCATTCAAGTGGCACCAAGATTGAAATTCCGAATGAAAGTGAAGAAGAGTGAGGAGTGGGGGACTGCGGGACTGGGGGGTATTGTAAGTATGTACGTCGGCTTTTTTTTGTGTGAGATGAAGACAAAGATGAGAAAGCAACGAAAGGTGAGACCGAAGACGAAGGAAGATGCATATAATCAGGAGAAAAGAGGTAGAAAGAAATGTGTGTAGGAAGAGATGATCCCGAAGAGGTGGGAAAGGACAAGGAGATGAGGAGAGGTAGGAAAAAGGAAAGATCAAGCGAGAGGGAGAGAGTACGATTACTATAACGTACTGTCTAAAATGTCAATAAAACGAGTGTGAGGATAACATGGGTAAGAAACGAATTAGGAAAAAATCGTATATTTCTCAAGACCAAAATTGAGAGAGCGAGTCCAAACGAAACGAAACGAGATATGTATTTGATCCAAGTCCATACTGTTCACAACGCACCACCACCACCAGCCCCTCCTGCACCGGCACCAACGACATTCCTCGCCAACGGCGAACTCTTCCTCACCGGCGAACTACTGTTACTTCCTCTCCCTTGCATTCCAAGATAACTCTGGCTTTGTCCACCCCCCTGGCCCGGAGGCACCAACGATCCCGACGCAGAATCCACCGGACTCCCCCCAGGCGAGAACCGAGGGTCGAACGCAGATGCGCGGGAGGACGACGACGGTCTGTTGTTCGTGTTCATACTGGGGTTCATGTTGATGTGGGACATATTCGGACTTGGATTATTGCTGTTGTTGGGCACATCATCCCCCGCCTGCGAACCCGCGACGGAGAAGGCGATCATAGCCTGTTGATACGCCTGTGCGGCCTGTTGGGCAGCGAACATGTGTTGTTGTTGCTGTTGTTGCTGTTGTTGTGGGTTCATCCCACCCATCGCACCCATACCGCCCCCGGTCATCATCGGGGACAGCGCTCCAGGAGTTCCACCGGTCATCATCGGGGACAGCGCAGACGTAGGTCCACCAGCTCCAGTCATCATCCCAGTCATCTGCGCCATCATCGGGTTCATGCCATACATCGACATCATCGGGTTCATGCCGTACATCGACATCGTCGACATTGGGTTCATCCCGTACATCGACATCGGGTTCATCGGGTTCATCCCTCCGTACATCGACATCGTCGCTGCCGCCATTGGGTTCGACATCATATTCGGGTCCATGCCCATCCCTTGCATCCCTCCCATCCCTCCCATATACCCACCCCCCTGCATCTGCATCTGCTGCTGCTGCATCTGCTGCATCTCATCCCACCTCCTCTGCCTCTCCTCCACCACCCTCCGCTCCCTCTCCCTCTCCGTCAACGCCGCGCCCACGCCGCCCTCCCTCTTCCGCTCCCGCTCATACCCCGCCACGGCCCCGAGCAAGCCCGTCTGCGGCGGGGGTGGTTTATTCGGGACGTTGATCAGCGACGCCCCGGTCTCCCGCGCGAGCTCTTCCTGGCGCTTGGCGGACCGGTCTTGGCGCTCGGAGAGCCCGGCGGAGAGGAGGCCTTGCGGGGTGAAGGCTTTGGTGAGGTGGGAGGAGGGAGGGTCGAGGTGGATGAAGAGCTCCGGGTTGGATGGGGTGGACGGGTTGGGGTTGGGATGGGTGGAGGAGTTGAGGTTCGGAGCCGGGTGGGGGTTGGTGGAGAGGGGTGGGATGGGGGTGGGACCGATGGGGTTGGTGAATGTGTGGGAGGCGGAATGGGGGTTTTCGGGGAGAGAACCTGGGGTGTGGGATGGGTCGAGGACTTGGGACCACATGCTTTGACGGGGTGGGGCAGGTGCTCGGAGGGCTTGGGGTCCTTGGGCGTAGGTCATTTGTGGCATTTGTTGTGGTTCGTCTCCTAAAAAAACATATCAATCTCTTTTCTTTTCCATGAAAAAAAAACACTCACCCATTCTTCCTGGAATCTGAGGTAACGTTCTAGGCATCCTCATCTCATTTCTTCCTCTTTCCCTCTCTCTTCTATTTTCCTGTCCTCTTCCTCTCCCTCTGACTCTATCATCCTCTTCCTCGTCCTCATCCCTATCTTCCTCATCCTCCTCTCTATCTTCCTCTTCTTTATCACCCTCACCCTCCCTTTCATTCTCCTCCTCCTCCTCCCCCTCTTCTTCTTCTTCTTCTTCCTCCTCCTCCTCCTCCTCCTCTTCCTCCTCATCACTACTCCAACTCCCAACCTTACTCGTCGGCACAGCCCTCATCTTCCTTCCTCCTCCACCCACGCCCACCGCACCCGCCCTCGCACCCGGTCTATGAATCGCCGCTGCCTGAGCCGCCTGCGCCGCTTTCGCTTTCGCCTTGCGCTCTGCGGCCGCTTTGGATGGGGCGAAGGAGGTTTTGAATTGGGTCTGGGTCTGGGTCTGAGTCTGGGTCTGGGGTTTCGTTTGAAGAGGTTGGAGAGGTTGAGTTCGAGTTGATTGAGATGGAGATGGAGATGATAGTTGTGGTGACCCATCGCTCTCTCCGAAACTTTTCATCGAAGATAACATGGATCGTTGAGACTCTGACGCGTCCATAGTCCTCTCTTGCCTCGCCTCTTTCGTCACCGCATCATCCACCTGCGAATCATTCACATCCAAATACGACAACACAGCGAGAACATCGTCGTCTGATGCCTGAAGCTGGTGAGAGGCCGAAGAAGTGGATTGCATCGTGGACGTGTTGGGCGTGGATTTTGGCGTGGGCGTGTTATCAGAGGAGTTTGTTTTTGAGTTCGAGTCAGAGCGTGAGTTCGAGTGTGGGTATGTGTTAAAGTTCGAACTGGAGTTCGAGTTTGAGTTTGAGTTTGTCTGATACCTAGGTGGAATCAGAGTCCGTCGTTGTCCTTGTCCTTGTTGGCCCTCGATCTCGACCGTGTTCGGGTCTTCTAAGCTTGACCCTGCACCTTCGTCTTCTTCTTCAACTTCTTCTTCTTCCTCGTCGTCGTTTTCGTCTTCCTCACGTAACCCAAGCAGCCCTTGTGATGTTGTCGTTGTCGTTGGATCCGGTTGACCTACGTGACGAGAGACGGAGAGAGAGAGGGTTTGTCAGTGACGAGTTCGAGGTTGAGCGAGAAGAGAAGTATGAACAAAAAGTCAAGAAGAACAGAGCCCCAACGAATGAACGAAGGAACAGCGAACACAGCAGAAAACCCGACAAACGCACAAAAAGAAAAAAACCAGTGTCGTTCAGTAGTTACCAAGTGGTGGAAGAAGAAAGAAACGAGAACCGAAGAAGAAGCAAAAAGAAAAAAGAAAAAGAGGAACACCGCGTTTCTTCCCACTGTGACTTACCTGATGAGCCTTCACGGTCACGGTCACCGTAACCAACCGGAGTCGGACCTGAACCAGCTCCGGATCCCACGTGTGTCCCCATCCCCGTCCCCGTCGTCGTAGCCTGGGCAGCAAGCGCCCGCTGAGGCGCCCGTGCCCCAGACGGTCTGCGTCCCAAACTCCCGGTGAGCACCGAGCGACTGTTTGTGTTTGCCGTCGCAGCGTTCGTGGGCGGTTGAGAACGAGAGAGAGAGACGGGGGAGGCCGTGTAGGGGTGTGTATAAAGAGCATAGGGACTCTCTGGACTCTCCGGACTACGCGCACCGACGCTGGCACTAGTAGCAGCATCTACGCTACCCAGAACCTGCTCGTACCTCGCCCTCAAGTCCTCTGCGCTGCTCGTGCTCGTCGTACCCGTGGTACCCGTGGACGTAACGGTTCCGGAGCTCAGTGTAGTGTTGGTTCGAGGTTTATTCCCAGCCGTGGTGTGAGTCGCAGGTGCGGTAGAACCAGAACCAGAACCAGAACCAGAACCACTGAACGCCGTAGCAGACGGAGGCGCAGACGGAGGCAGAGTCGGGCTTGACGTCGAGTACGAGTCTCTCTGACCAACAGCATTCGACGTCCCGAACGTGCCTAGATTCCCCAACGTCCCCAACGTCGACACAGACCCGACGGGCGAATACGGACTGGTCAGCATACTCTGAGTCTCCACCTCAAGCTTCTCTAGCTTATCATGCTCATGGTGATCAAGATGACCTTGAACGCTGTGGACGTTGGTAGGGTTGTGGATACTGAGATGGTGGGTGTTGGTGTGATGATCCCCATCGACCGAATGAGGCGAAGTCAGGATGGACGCGGGGGAGTGTGGGCGGAGTGGGGAGGTGAGTGCGAAAGTGGGTGTGTTGGGAGTACGAGCGACACGAGCGATAGCAGTGGTAGGAGTGGTAGGGGGCGGGGTGAACGAAGAGGGAGCAGGAGGAGAAGTTGACGGAGTCAGTGGAGGAGAACGAGGCGGAGGAGGAGACCGAGTTGATAGAGCAGGAGATGGAGTCTGCGTCTGCGTAGGCGACGTAGCCCTCGTCCCAAACGAGCCAAAGAAATCCTTCTCGGGAACGTTGGGCGACGTAGACTCACTTTGATCTCCTTCGTTTACCTCCTCCTTCACAGGCGACGGGCCTCCGAAAGCCATGGATAGAGTGGACGAGGTCCTTTGATGACTTGGACCTGCACCCGCACCCGTATTCGTATTCATTCCACCCAAAGACGCTGTCCTCCCTGCCGTCCCTACATTCCCCATTGACCCAAACGTGCCTGTAGTCCCTCCCGTCCCCGACCTCTCTAAATTAGTCTGAGTCGTATACACCGAAGACCGCTCGGTTATAGGCGTAAGCAGGGCTTTATCTGTGTAGATCCTTTCTCTTTCTCGCACTTGTCCCTCCTGCGAGAGTGTATCGTTGGCAGAGTCGAAGGATAGAGGGGGAAGTGTGAATCCTGCAGAGGTGGATGAGGAATTGGCGGTCGTAGTTCCAGCGCCAGTACCAGATCCTGCTCCAGAAGGACCAGAAGGGGGACCAAGGGAAGAAGAAGAAGAAGGATGCATCTCACCCATCTTGCTCTCCAACAGCCCCAACAGCTTTGAGCGGATAGAGGACGTCCTGTCGTCCCTCGGGTCGAGACTCTCTGCGTGTTCTCTATCGAGGAAGAGGGCCTAGATGATAGAGATAAAGAGAAAGATAGAGAAAGAGGAAGAGAGAGGACTGACATCCTTAGTAGGCCCAACAGGATACCCAAACATCAACCCCTTCTTATCCCTCGGATCCCAAGTCCACCCCTTTGGCCTCCCATACAACCCAAACGCATCATGTATCGCTATAATCCATTTCAACATCTCCCCCGATGCACTCAACCCTCCCTCCTCCCCCTCCACTTGTGGCATGACCAACACCCAGCCCTCTCTCCCCCTCATACTCCCCGCCCCCTCTCCCTCCTGCCCAAACATCCCCTCGATCTTGATCAACGTCGAGCGCGAGATGAGCTCTGGCCGTTCGGGGTACACCGCGAATGCCTGGGACACCACCGGGAGTACGAGCACCGGCTTTTTCCGGTCTTTCGGTTTCGGAGAGAGGTACATCGTAATCGACCGTTCATCAACCCCCGCTTCTTTGTCCCTCAGAAACAACGCCGACATCCGTTTCTTGCTGAACACCGTCGACCCTCCGTCTCCCACACCGTTCGACTCTACCCTCCCCAACTCCCCTCCTCCTCCTTCTCCAGCCCCCCTCCCCTCCCTGACCACCATCCAAACCGCCTTCCACTCCGTCCGACCCGCGACCCTGATCCTCACCCACCCCTCCAGTTTCCCTCTCACGAGCGTGCTCCCCACGTCCGCCTTCCCAACTCCGATCATAATCCGACACAGATGCGCCGTGTACATCTCCTCCAGCCTGCTCTTCTCCCATGCGCTCAGTCTGATCGCTGCCGCCCAGGAAATCAACGCGTCGGTCGAAGGACAGGCGAAGAGGATCAGGTTGGAGCCCGCGGTGTTGAGCGTGAGGACGTTGGTGTATCTCTGCGCTGGCTGGCCGGCGGTCGCGGGATTTTGAGCAGGAATCGTCACAGACCCCAACACCTGGACGAACGCATCCGTGATATTCAAATACGAAGGAGGCACCTCCTTCCCCCTCTTTGACGCTTCCTCAATCTCCCGCATGTTCCACACACTCAACGTCGTTCCTCCGAGCTGCGCCCAGACTTGTTCCCAGCCGTTGTTGCTGGCGTTGTTCCCTGCGTTGTCCGTGGTGTGATGGGGTTTACCCCCGTTCGCCTCACGCTCGATCCGTCGGATTAACGGTCCAGAGAAATAGATCTTGTGTGCGTGTGCGACGGTGAGGGAGACGATGGATCGGATTTCGGGGTGTAGAGCGGGTGCTTGTCCTACATTCTGCACCTGTGCTTGACTTTGACTTTGACTCTGTATCTGTCCTTGGCCCTGAGGTACCCCAGGCCCAGACGACATCGACAAAGACGTTCGTCCCGCCATCTCTCCTCCTACACTACTCACACTCGGCTGCTGCGGCTGCTGCTGCTGATTCCTATGCTTCCCAAACGAGAAAAACGAGGACGTCCTCGAGTGCGTATGTGTCTGTGTCTGTGTCTGCGTCTTTGTATGAGCCCTTCATCTCAATATCACTCCGAGGAAAGACGTACATTCCCAACATTCCCATTCCCATTCGTCTCCAAACTCCCACTCCTCCCTCTACTCATCCCCGGCCTCGTATACGCCTGATCAGACGAGGGCGCGAACATCGTCTTGTTGTGGCCGTTCGTATTATCCATCCTATCCAAACCGTTCGAATTCCCGTTCGCGCTTGGGTTCACTGTGGAATTCGCGTTAGAGATCGATATTTCGATATTTCAATATTCAAAAGAGTCAAAAGAGTCAAATTCAACGCACTCGCACCGTCTCGCGCGTTTTCCTTCAATCCTTCTCTTTCTTCTCTTTCCTCTCTTTCTTCTCTTTCTGCCCTTTCCTCGCTTTCCTCTCCGTTTATCCCTCGTTCACTCTCCCTGTTCTCCCTTATCTCCCTTATCTCCCTATGGCCCTCGTCCTCCCTCGGCTTCGACGTAAACCAATGGCTCGGCGTCGTCGCCCGGAACTCTTCCAGTCGGGTGGGTGAGATGAAGCTCTGCCGGCGAGAGTCCCACTTGGTGCTCTGGGGTGTGGGTGTGGCTATCGGACTCACCGTTCTCGGTGAGGGTGAGGGTGAGGTAGACGAAGTGGGGTTGGAAGCTGGTGTGGATGAAGCTGGTGTGGATGAAGCTGGTGAAGGTGAAGAAGCCGTGTTTGGGTCGGGTCGAGTTGAGTTGAGTTGGTTGTGTTGTGTGAGTGATGGGTGATGAGAACAGAGGCTCAGGAAAAGAATCTTTTGAATCAAGATGAGTCTGGAGTCTGAGTTGATGGTGATGGTGATGGTGATGGTGATGAGGGTGGTTCACAATCTACTAGTGCAAGACTGTGCAAGAGCGCTATTAGTATTTGGCTTGTTTGGTTGGTTTGATATGTAACACTCGAAGCTCGAGCGCTGGAAGGCGCTGGACGCCGAAATCTAGAACTGTGACACAACCTAGCGCCGAGCGCCGAACCCGTCAACGTTGCGAATCGGAACAGTGGACTGATTCTGTTGTCGTGTTCTTTGAGGGTCTGGTCTGTCGGATTCTGTCTGGTCTGTAGACTGTCTGTCTGTCGTGACGGAGAACTAAGAACAAAGAACTCCAAAGAACTCCAAAGAACTCCAAAGAACTCGCGAGAGAAAGAGGGAATCAGGGATGAGAGAAAAAGCAACTCAAAGGAAACAAAACGGACCGAGATCATTATCACATCACTACATAATACATATCACCGACTCATCCGGATATCGACGAGAACCCTCCTGCAAACTTCAAAGTCTCCGTCTTTCTTTCCGTCTTTCCGTCTCTTAACTGCACGCGTACGTCTCGAATCTCGTCGCCATCGTTCGTATGTATACATCGCTCGTTTCACGAGAGATCTCAAATGTCCCCCAGTGTGCATCGTCTTTGAGTTTGGACGTCTCTGGATCTGGACACTGGACAGTCTGCCGCGCTCTCTTGAAGAGCTCTAGCGCTGTATCTATACTGAATACTGGTATACATCCAATTAAATAATGATTCAACCTTGATTTGCCATCCTTCTACATCTATCCATAATCCACCATCCGGGTCCCGCGTTCCATCCTGTCTGGCATGTTCCATGTTTCATCAACTCATCCATGGACGATGATGATGATGATGATCCTTGGCAAGTTATGTATGTATCTCATTCTAATTTCTATCTCATTCCTAAAGTTTAAACTCATGGTTTATCAACACCTCTCGTCTCATCTTCTTCATCTCGAGTTTGAAGCCTCAGAACATACTTCAAGTTATCAGTACTTATCACACATCATGAATCCTGTATCGTGATAGATCGTAATTCATCGTGATATTCATCATTGACAATGATTCATTATATTCATGATCCATCTCCCCCAGCTTTCCTAGCTTTTCCTAGTAGGCCCTACTGGGATCATCATCGTCCATCGTCCATCGCCGCCCGGCATACATCCATTATCCGTAGCTATCCATAGCTATGTATCCATACTATGATCTGCATTGCCCATCGTCCTAGGATCAATGTTGAGATACCTCTGATACTTCTCATCGAGTCATCAGGCTATGCACAACTCGCTCCAGATTCACTGGAGTCTGGCATTCCCCATACCTATCAACTTTCAAGTACTAGTATGTACTCAATCTCAAATACTTAGTCTCAACCATTCCATCCCCCTCATACCCAACCTATCACCCCAGGATCTAACCAATTTAACCAATCCCTGGTAGTATATCGGTTTAGTACACGCGCCTGTCATACGTTAGATCACACGAAGATAGAAGACGCGCGAAAGCTGGGTTCGACTCCCAGCCAGGGAGATATGAATTTTTCCTAGGAAGGTTTTTTTCATTATTTTCCTGAAATCTCTTCTCTCTTCTGTCTTCCCTCAGTTTGATTTTTGTAGGCTTCTGAAATGTTATTCACTAAGTACTCACCAAGTTCAACGAAATACTACATACTGTAAGTACTTAGTACTTCCAACCAGTGGCAAGTTGCAATGGGCTCCTACCACTGCGGGGATTGGCCCATTTAATTGCAGCTGAAAGGATGATTATATGAGGAGGTTGGTTGACCTTCCATAGGCATTTAGAAATCCTAGATTATTTCTCACCCTGAATTTCCAACGTTTAGAAATAGGATTCTAAAAAATATTAAACCGTTGGAGACCCTTGGCCGGCCACCTTTCAAGATGCGGCATTATAATGCCGAGAATTTCAAGTTCACGGCATAGATGAAAGTATTCAAAATATCAACCAAATGGAGCGAAATCGTGATACGCGATTTAGAAACACTCGCTTAGCTCTGGAAGGGGGGGTCAGACCCCCTTCCAAATTAAGGTTTAGAAAACCACCTTTGCCATCAAATTTCGTGCCACCCTTATGCGAGCTGCCGGCTTTTGCTCGCTAAACCTCGCTCAGAGGGATTTAGAAAATATATCTAGGATTTTTGGCCTGCGGGAGGTCACCCGTTAAGTACAAAAACATGGCACTGGATATTGAAAATAATTACCTTGAGATTAGATTGATTACATCAAGAGGTAATTCAAAATTTCCGCGCCCTCACCCAGGACCACCATACTCGCTGCGAGGAAATTTTGAAAAACCATGGAAAAAACGTGCTGATCATTTTTGGTAAATATTGTACTAAACCTCCCAATAACCGCTGAACAGAAACCGGCTCATCCCCGCAGTGTATACTCCAGTCAAGCTTCAGAATATTCAGTATTTCAGTATCCCTGGTAGTATATAGAGTGTATATTGTAGTGCCCAGTGCCCTTGGGCACCCCAAAGAACAATGGGATTCGGTGCTGGGCACGTAACCAATGAAAATACCGGTTTTCACCCAATCGGGGCTCTCCTAATATAGTAAGGCCCAGAATGGCCCGATTGGGCAATCTTGTGACCTGAAGTTTCTTCGTTGCTTTGTGTTATCGTCGACGTCGTCTTCTACAATCTCCATCCAACACTCACTAGCACTACCAAGCTGTATATCATCGGCCGTATCTCATATTCGCCAAAATTTCCGCGCCCTCACCCAGGACCACCATACTCGCTGCGAGGAAATTTTGAAAAACCATGGAAAAAACGTGCTGATCATTTTTGGTAAATATTGTACTAAACCTCCCAATAACCGCTGAACAGAAACCGGCTCATCCCCGCAGTGTACTCCAGTCAAGCTTCAGAATATTCAGTATTTCAGTATCCCTGGTAGTATATCGGTTTAGTACACGCGCCTGTCATGCCGTATGCGATGATGTTGTCATCAGACAATTGATCGCGCGAAAGCTGGGTTCGACTCCCAGCCAGGGAGATAAATCTACCTGTAGAAGACCTTGTTTTTTCTTCTTTTTATCTTTCGTACTTGTCCAAATCAACCAGTCCTAATGAAATTATTTCACAAGTTCTCGCACAAAGACTCTGACTCTGACTCTGCCGTCGTGAGATGAGAGTCTGAGAACTTTTTGTGTAAATTTTCCATTTTCCGCCGACGACGCATGTCTTCTACTTAATCACAGTCCACATCTTGAATTCTTGGATCGAAACTACTACTATCGAGATAACCCCCGCCTACTGATACCCTAGTAGTATTAGTACCATCGATATCAGCCTAGTATTTCCTTCGTCTCGTAGGCCTTCCTCTCCCTAGCTTCCCGTTCCCTCGAACCAAACGTCAAGTTTCGACACATTAACGGTAACCACCGGCATACATCTACAGTAACATCATAGCAGAGTCAAACCTACTATCGGGACTCAGATCTAGCATCATGGACGTATTTCAAGCCCTCGCACTGGCAAACCAACAAACGGTTATCAGGACTGTGGATATGCATACTTCCGGGGAGGTAAGTGGTGACTTGAGCACCCATTCCCACTGCATTCTACCGGCGATCGATTCTCGGTAGTTTGCCCTCTTTCTGCTCGGATTCGATGATGGATTGAAAGTTGGAACGGTATCGATCTGATACTGAACTCAGTTCTTTGCAGCCCACAAGAATCATCATCTCTGGCTTCCCAGACCTCAAAGGATCCACGTTGCTTGATAAACGACGGTACGCGAGTGAAAATCCGGAGGTGGATAGGGTTCGGAAATGGTGGGTTCATCGGACACCCTAGAGTCACCAGTACTCATCGCGATGGTGGTGATCGCCTCCGAGTCGACTCTGTTCTTATTCTTGTTAGTAACTTCCGGCTCTCTTTTTACATTTATCTCGAACAGGTTGATGCTCGAACCCAGAGGCCATCCAGGGATGTACGGAGCGATTCTCGTTAAAGAGACGGAGCTGACAAGGAGCGGGGGGGCGGATATCGGGGTGTTGTTTTGTCATAATGGTCAGTTCCAGTGTCACTCCGAGTCCAAGTCCTCCAACATCCCCCACGATCCCTCATCATCCCAAAGTCCTCATGATTTATGATCCACACATCTTCTTACCATGATCGTCTATTACAGAAGGCTACTCAACCATGTGCGGGCACGCCACTATCGCCCTAGGCCGGTTCCTCATCGATACTTGGGACTTGGATGTGTTCCCTCAACGGCCTTTTCTACAACAGGGAACCAGTAGTGCTGGTAGCAGTGGACCAGAGGCCCGGGCGAATGAGAATGTGACGATAATTAGACTCCATGTCCCGTGTGGGGTAGTGACTGTTAGTGTGCCTACGCCTAATCGCAACACTAAACCTGACCTCAGCAAACCCGTCCGGTTCAAATCCGTACCCTGTTTTGTCCCATCTACACCATCCTCCTCCTCCTCTGCGCAACTCCCACACACGATCACCGTCACCGTCCCTCGAGAGCTAGCCTGGTCGCGTCTCATTGCCAAACACCGTTCACATATTCATGACACTGAAGGGCCGATCCAAATCCATCTCAACATCTCCTACGGAGGAGCGTTCTACGCTCTCGTTTCCTCTTCCGAGCTTGGATTCCCTTCTCTCAGAGTCCGATCCACTTCGGAGGACTCCTCAACCTCATCTAGCTCATCACCGAACTCAGTACTCAAAGAACTAGAAGAATCAGCTCAAATCCTCCGTGTTCTCCTCGAACAAGATCCAAACGCTCGTAAGGCGTTCAGCAGTGATCGTGTAGACCCGGATGTGAGGTTCTTGTATGGGGTTACGATGATTGATTCCTCGGAGTCTGCTGTTGAGGAGAAACCTCGACAGGACGAGGGAAAGTCTTCGTCATACGAGTCAGAGGAGGTGCCGGATCAAAATGAGAACGAGAATGAGAAAAAGATCATCTGGATCTGTTTCTTCGGATCACCCTCATCCTCCTCCAACTTGGCCCCGGGAGGCGGCTCCCAGATCGACAGATCCCCCACCGGATCCTGCGTCAGCGCCCACGTCCCGCTCGCTATCCAGCAACACAAGCTCAGGATGGGCGAATGGTGCACGTATGAGTCGTTTTTGAGCGTACAGTTTCCCGGGAATGGGTTTAGAGGGAGGGCTGTGGAGAGGGTGCCGAGATGGGCAGGACGGATTGAAGGTTCAGTGGAAGAGTATGAATATATCATCGAGGTTGAGGGATACGCGTATTATACTGGTTCAGCGAGCTTTTGTGTCCCGGAAGGATGGAGGGATACAATGGGCGGTGGGTTCGAGGTTAAGTTGCCTTCTGAGTTGGTTTGAACAATGACTACAATGTATGCTTTTGATTATGTATGATGGTACTAGTTTTCTTTGTTCAGTATGTTATAGCCCTTCAATATACCCAGATAGACGGCATCCGATTCATCATCATCGTCTCCCCTCACCTCGAAGTTCAATCCAAATTGTTCTTTTTTTTTCACCTACAACGAATACTTGAAATCCGGATGTCTATCACCCAGCTCAATCCACGCTCTCGTCGCATTCGTCCCCTTCTCATCATCAAAATCAATATTATACGGCCTGAGAATCTCCTCTCTGTGTTTGATTTTTTGGTTGTTCATATGATTGAGAAGCAGGGCGTTGAGGCCTGAGCCTACGATGATGAGGATAGTGCTGGGAGAGGGGAACATGACATGTGAGGGTGTGCAGTGAAGGAGAGGTAGGAGGAAGTGGTATGGGGGGAAGAAGATGCAATCGAAGAGAAAAGAAGAGGTAATAAGCTCAGGAGGACATGAGAGGTAAATGAGAGATAACCCACAATGTCAGATTGATAATCGTCGTCTTTCGGTATCGCGGTGATTCACTTGTAGGGAATAGCCATGTGCTTGTGATACCTCCCTATAAACACCAACAGAGTATCAGAAATGCCAATAGCTCCTTTAACGAAAACTTGCCAAAACTCACCGCGTTTGTAGCAACAAAGCCAAGCGCGATACTCGTCGCTCTCCGATAATGAGGCTCAGAATTATTCGCCATCCACGCAGACACGGGTGGAACAGCTGCGTAGACTCCGGGAACGGTGAAGAATAAGGAACCATAACGAGTGTACTTTGCTTCCGAGCCTTTCGTTGTGAAAAGAAGAATCGATCAACATTCCGAGGTCAGTTTCGAGTAGTAGTATGAACTTGTGCTCACTGAGATAGATGGAAAACCCAATGATACCCAGGATAGAGAGCAGCATCGTCGGAATTGCACGAGATTTGATACGGTCAGAAAGAAGAGAGGCGGTCAAGGTGACTTGAAAAGATGTAAAGAAGATGATCGATTACAAGAGGTAAAATGGAAATTGTGAGAAGTCTAGACTTACCAATGAATCCTCCAGCAAAAGGCCCAACACTAAGCAGCTGTGTCGTGTTCGCGCTGAATCCAAGTTGATTCACGATGGAGGGAAGAAAAAGTGCTTGTCCATAAAGTACCGTGCCTTCCATATAGAAAATCGCGAACACAAGTAGGACATGCGGGGATTTGAGCGAACGCAAAACCTCCTTGAAGGAGAAATGATCCTGATAGGTGCTAGACGATGGCTTGTCTTTCTCCAATCGGCGAATGAGCACTCTGTGGGAATTGAATAGAAAGGCGGTTTTAGTGTTACGATGCACGGCGTGTATTCCAGAATGATAGGCATCCTTACTCTCTCAGTTCCGGAGTCATGAACTTGAGCTCTTGAGGTGTTGAAGGGATGATGAAGAATCCCAAGATTCCCATCAGTGAGCTGAATATTCCTTCCTGTAAGAAGTGAAATCACATAAGTATCGAGAATTGAGGACACACAATGGAATTCATAGCTATCTGCTACCACTCACCAAGATGAAGATCCAAGCCCATCCAGGTCTACCACTAATTCCGTCCATGTTGACGATGGCAGCGGCAAGCAGCCCTGAAAACGCGCCAGACAGCTGGAGTGTGAAGAGAAATGAGAATGTTAGCTTGACAATGTCAACGGAGAGATAACTCCGTCCTGGACGGAGTCATCCGAATGTCGAACGTACAGAGGCAGACGAGAAAAAGACCGCCACTCTGGGAAAGATGAAACACGATGAGCGGATGGGCTTCCGAGGGATGCGCTAATGGTTTCCCCTTACCGAAATGCTAACTCAGATCGAGTGTAGAACGACGAGAGGTAGAGCACGATTCCTGGGAACATCGGACCTTCAACCAGACCGAGAAACGCTCGAACAGTAGCCAAACCAGCGTAGGAGGTGACGAGACCTAGATAAGAATGTATTCATCCCATCGATCTGTTGGCAAGCGAAATTTGCACTTACCCTGCAGAGCGACCATAAGACCCCATAGCGTGAGTAGCGTAGGCATGAGGAACCGGGGGCCGATTTTTCGTAGGAGGAGATTTGCAGGGAGTTCGGCGCAAATGTAAGGCCTTATGAAGACAGTATAAACGGAGGAAGATGGTTTCTCGAACGATGGACTGAGCGTACACATAGAGAATTGTGACGCAGACTTGATACTGCCAGTCCGACATGCCTAAGTCCTTTTGCAGCCCGGCTACACGAGCATTTCCTGAGCGAGAGAATGAAGAGTCAGGAAAAGCGAGGAGGACCCAGACGTTGCTGCAGCATTCGTACCGATGTTTGCACGATCCTAGAACCAAAGAGATGCCGGTCAGTATTCAATTCAGAGCGGGAAGATGGATGGATTGGAAAATCATACTAACCAAAAACGAGAGAAGATAGAACATTGTCATCATAGGCAGAATAGCAAAATCCAACCTCCTCACAGCCCGTCGTTCCAGCCTTTTCAGCTCGGCTTCGTCCATGTTGTCATACTTGGTCGAGACTTTCAAGTCTTCGAGATGATCAGCCTCGTACATACTCTCGCCTTTGAGTTGACTTTCTGCAGGACGAGCAGACATAGACGTGGGGGAGGTGGTGATGGTCTAGAGCAAAAAGACCGGAAAGTCGGGTAAAACATTCTTTCGGAGTCATA